AGATTTGAACCGCTGAACTGCAGATAGCAGTCAGCTGAAGTGGCCTTCAGTACTGCACCCTAACCACTGCGCCACCTCTGGCTCCCTTTAGTGAAGAACCTCTCATCTTCCCCCTGAAAACAGAACTTTTTCCCACCAAGGGGCTGCTTTAAACCCCCAGGGAAAGAGAATTTCTACCCTGGGTCTTACGGGAGGGGCTCCAGTGACGGCTGAGCTAGTCCTAGAGGTGGGGGCCCACCTCTGACCGGGGGGGGAGGCGAGGGGTGATCTCCCACTCAGGAACAGTCTGGCTTTCGCTTGCTGGTCCTTTTCCAGCCCGGGGGAGGAGACGGAGGGAGGGCAGGGGGAGGCTTTGCATTTCTGCTCCTGGCAAACTGATCCTTGTCTCCGTTTTAAAATATCTTCCCACAGATAAGAGGGAAAGAGCCCCAAGGGAGCCATTCCGCCAGGATCCCTGGGAATCCAGCCCCGAAACCTCTCTGCGGTCAAGTGTGGCTCCTTGTGGTCCTCCAGTGAAAATGGAGCTGACCGATGAAGAACCTGATGGCCAAGATGGCAGGAGAAAGGAGCTGCCTCCTCCTCCATCAGGAAGACCCCCTGTGGCCTCTGCCCTGGGGGCTGACAGTCCTGAGGAGGGTCCTTCCATCCCTCGGCCCCACCCGACTCCTGCCCAGGGCGCCGCTTTGCTCCTGGTGAAGGAAGAAGCTGTGCAGGAAGACGAGGCGCTGCCCTCCGTGGGGGCCGAGTCCTCCCTCTGCGCTCCCTGCCCCTCCCAGGCTGTGGAGCTGGGCTCTCCTGGGAAGGAGCTTGGCAGGCCTGAGGGTGGGGCAGGACAGGCCGCCTCCCACCAGGCCCCCCAGGAAGCCCCGTGGGTCCCGGGCACGTCGGCTTCTTTCCCAGCCACCGACGCCTGCGGTGATGGAGGCCCCCGCAGTGCCTGGCCTTTGCAGGGCGATGGGTGCCCCCTCGGACGGAGTCCCTTGGCAGACACAGGGCTCCGCTCTCAGGCCCCCCAGGAAGAAAAGAGGCGGCTTTGGCCTCTCCTCTCGCATCCCCCATCTTCTCCTCCACCCTCTCCCTCCGTCTCTCAGCATTCACTCCTCCCCAAAACCTCGGCAGACGAGCAGCCCGAAGGCCCCCGGCCCCTGTCTGACTTTGGGGGAGGAGCGCTCGGCATTCCCTGCCAGTCGGAGGAGGCAGGGCTGGCGGAGCCTTCGGATGCCGAGTGTCTGCGCGTGGCAGCCGCTGTCTCCTCTTCTGCACCACCCCAGGTCCAGGAGGGGGTCTCCTCCTTCAGAGACCCTCCTGCTCGCACAGAGCCCCACAGCAGCCGCCTCTCTGGAAGAGCGGCCGAGTGGGCGTCCTCCGAGCAAGACGTGGCCTTCCAGCTGCAAGAGTGCCAGTCGGTGCTGGCAGAAATCCTCCAGGCCTTGAGTTCGGTAGAAGGTGTGGACGAGGCCCACGTGGAGAAATGGAGGTATTCTGTTTTAGTCTTTATTAAAGTAATTTACACACACAGACACACCCAAACTCACTCATGGTTCACTCTCTGCACCAGCAGACCCCCCAACTTCCCCTCTTGGCAGAGCAGCAGGGAGGGGGGATGGTTTTGTGGGAGTGGCAGGTGTGCAAGAGCGAACAACATGATTTGCACCAGCATCAGGCACACGCCACTCAGGCAAATGGAAGTGCGAGCGCGAGTGCCCGCCACTTGTGAGGCCCTGTTCTACACCTGCACTAGAGTTCCCCAGCCGGCCCATTCTGGGAGTTGAAGTGCAGCTGTCTGAAAATTGTCGTGGTTTAGAAATACTGAGATGGACAGGTGGGAGAGGGAGGGGGCTGGGTGGCGCCAGGTGCCAGGGCATTGCTTGATTCTCCCTTCCCCCCTCCCTCCCTCCTTCAAGGGACCAGATTGCTGTCCTCCAGAAGGCGACCAAGATGCCCCAGACCCACATAGCCCTGGTGGGGAACACGGGGGCCGGCAAGAGCTGCCTGCTCAACGCCCTGCTGGACGAGGAGGCCATGCTGCCCACCTCGGCCATGAGAGCCTGCACCGCAGTGGTGGTGGAGATCGCCAGGGGCGCAGAGGGCAGTCCGTATGAAGCCGAAGTGGAGTTCCTCTCCCGGGAGGTAGGCGCCGGGCTGCCTTGGGCAGTGCCTGCCTCTCCAGGGCCAGGCTAGGGGGCGACCCGCCTTGGCGGTGGCCCACCGGTCTGAAGGGCCTGGAGGAGCCTCTGGGCATTTCTGGGCTTGGCCACAGCTTCTCCAGCTGCAGGGAGGACATCTTGATCCCGTCCCCTCTTCTCTTCTTCCGCACCCCAGGAGTGGAATAAGGAGTTGGAGGCCCTCCTGGAGGACATGAAGGACAAAGCCGGCAATCTGAAGAAGCGATGCCCGGATCGCAAGACGGAAGCCGGGGCTGCCTACAGCCGGGTGAAGGCCGTCTACGGGAGAGTGGACGAGCTGGAGAAGCTGGAGGACAAGCAGGGGGTGACCCAACATCTCGGAACGGTCAAGCACATTTATGCCGAGACAGTAAGCAAAGATGCTGCCGGGGGCTCCCCTGCCCGAGTCCCTGTGCAATTGCAATCAATTGTATCAATTGTATATTGGCAATATATGAATTCTTTTTTCTCTTTTAATGTGAACATTTCAAAACAAGCCCTTTCTATTAGTTTCCTTCCCTAACTTCGGTTCACATTATTGTCTTGGAACTAACTTCACAGTTCTATATATTATATAGATATAATATATAGTATATATATATTGTAATGTAATAATGCTCGGCTACCTTGTGACTTTAAAAGAAACGCACCAAGGATTGTTACAGAGGAATTGGATTTGCGAAGGAAAACACACACTTTTCTTCTGTACATCTTTCCCTGCTTATACATTCTTGAGATGTCTCGCGCGGGCACAGCGCAGATTCCAATTCTTTGTGGATGCCTCCTTTCCTTCTACCTCAGCTCAACAGCTCACAAGCCTCCAGGCAACCCTGTTATTTCAAGGCAATCAAGCCACTTGAAGACAGTTTTTCTTTTCCTGGGCCTGGCCACCCCCAGGCGCTTCTGGGGCATCTCCCTTGTGGCCTGGGGTGGAGATGCTCCTGAGGGTCAGACCTCGCCCCGGGTTCTCCCAACTTTCCACATATATATGTATGTATGTATGTATGTATG